TTGTATTATACATTTGCGAAGGCGGAGTTTTTTTTTTTTTTGATTTGCATAGTTGCAGAAGGAAACTGTAGTGTAACCAACCGACAGTCAGCAAGCAGTTAACGTTGTTGTCTTGCCGTATTTCTGAAACTGAACGATCGGCGAACAAAATGACCGAAACAATCGTCATCTGTGGCGGTAGCAGTTTTATCTCACAACACTTCATCAACTTCCTTCAAAATCATCCGGAACCATTGTGTTCCGAAATTCGTACTGTGGACAGGAGAAAGTTTGTGAGATTTCTTGGTTAGTTATTTATAAATCTGATTGTTTTTTAATTGCGTTAACGTTCAAAATATTGCTTTTTTAATTCAAAGTTCTTATCTTTTAGTGTAAAAATGTTTTTTCTTTCAATGCTTATCAAAAATATTCACCTTTTTTTTCTTTTTACAATAATTTTTTTGAATGATAAGTGCAAAAAAAAAAATATTTTTTCTAAATATTAGCAAACTTTTTCTTAAACTGTTTTACAATGAAGCGATCGTTGGAACAAAACTCACAGCTTATTATATTTTAACAGCGAAAATTAAATTCTTGTTTTTGTTTTTTTTTTTTTTTGGTTTTATTTCTGGCTTGCATACAATTTTCGGTTTCCTAATTTTTACAATTTTTTATTGAAAAGAAAACTGAAGTTAACCGGGTTGTTTAAATTCATTCATTGTATTATCAAGTTATAAAACAAAACAATGAGATAAGATTTCTTGAACATTTTAATGACAGTACAATTTATCTCATACAATCAACAGATTAATATATATTTTGTGCATTTTCAATTCTTTCCTTACACGTGTTAACATCGTTCAGATCAACTAAAGGATATTGTGCCCTACGTTGTTCATCAAAACTTTTGCCAAAGATTCCTCTTATTGATATGGTAACAATAGTAATGTTCTTCCTCTGTGTACGTTCAAATTGTTGCTCACCTAACCTAATTTAAGCAAGAATAAAAAAAAAAATTTTTTTTGATTGCGAAAAGTTTAAGAACGAAATGAAGTAAAGTAAAGTGGTAAAATTAGAACCGCTGTAGATTTTAACTACAGTTCATATCTTTTATTATCAGTTTTTCGTAATCAAAGTTAATTTTTGTTGATCTTTCATAATTTCGTAAATTTTTCACCACTGTTTAATGTTTTGAACAAAGAAAATGAGAAAAAAAAATTGGAAAAGAAGCTTATTGAAAAACATAACATTACTCAGATTCTTCGTCACTCTTTCCTAATTGAATTCGGGCAGAAATATTTTTTGAAATACCTCCACAACTGCATTAAAGAATTTTTATAAACAATAATAACAGTACACAAGTTGCCTTACGAGCGCAAACTTGTCGGTATAGAAATTAGACAAAAGTTGTTGATAAAAATCATATCTATCTTAGTTCTTTCTCTTTATCAACTGCTCATTCTTTCATGCCTGCATAAGAGGTTCCTCAGAAAAAATGCCTTCGTGGTTAGTTCTTGATTATAGGTCATATTTCAAAGCATATTTTGCTATTTATGCTGCCTTACTTTTTTACTTTTAAATGAAGAAATCAAGTTTTATTTTCAAAATTTTTAAAAAAACTGGTTAACCCTTTGGAAATGTTATAGTGCTGCTATACCTGCCCGAAATAAACAAGAGTTCTCAAGATAATATAACTTTTGATATGCATTTTTGGTGGGTTCAGCTCTCTTATGCAACATCACTTATTCTCTTTCAGAAGCACTTATACTTTTTATTCTATTAGCTCTGATAAACAGTTAACAAGTATGACTAATAACTAGGACTGATAAACTTTAAAGAGTTTTTTTTGCTTTAATAATTAGTGGCTATTATTGTTAAAAAGATAATATATATCTCAAAGAAATTTTTACCAGTTCTTCAAAAGTAGACTTTCTGCTATAAAATTTTGAATTATTTACAAAGGTTAAAATAACTGTAGTTTTCAAAAAGATAACTTCTTCATATATTTCTTTTTTTTTAATCTGCAGTATCAATATTATTACATTAAACCTGGAACAGTAAAAGAACAGCTATAGAAATTGACAGTTTATGAATTGCAGAAGGAATTTACAAAGGTGTAGAAAAACAGAATAAAATAATTTAAAAAATTTTGCTAACTTATGCGTTCAGAAGTTTATTTCTAAAGCTCAAAAATTTTTTATGACTTGGCCTCAAGTTGAGCAGAACCTTTCAAATTGAATCACAAGGCCTATATTTCAGTGAAAAACTAAGTTTAACAATTCTCTAAACACGCATAAACTAACTAGGAAATTTTATTAAATAAGAATTTTAGTACACTGTATACAAAGGTTTTTTTTTCCTTAAAACTGGTCAAA